GTGCGTTCAAAGAACATGCTTTTTCGAAGCTCAGTAAGTCTCCGACTACCCCGGGAAAATAGGCTTTTTTTTTCTGAGGCGCAAAGCGGACGGATTTTTCGATGTCCTTTTGCTCCTGCAGGCAAAGCCTAAACCCCGAAACTCTGAAGTCTTTGGGCTTCCGGTTTGATGGGCCTCAGGGCTTGATGTGGGTTCGGGTGCAGATGTTCTGCTTAGGGTTCCCAGGTTTGGGGCCTGAAGACTCCGTGACAGTTGTCGTTGTAGGGTTGAAATGTTATCAAGCCTGCCAGAAAACACTGGCTTAATCCTTAAACCCGAAGCCCTAAACTTGATCAGTTCGGGTCTCTGAGTAAAACCCTGGTCAAGTCCTATGTACCCCTTATGCAACCCCTGCGAACTTTGTAGAAACCTTATAACCCGAAGGACGCGACGCTCGAAGGAACAGCCTGTCACAAGCAGCTGGGAAGCAATCTGAGGAACCCCCAAGCCCTAAACCCTAAACCCTAACTGAGCCCTAAACCCCAGACCTTAAACCCTAAAGAACGGATGGTTCTCTTGGGTTTAGGCCCCAGACAGGGCTTGGGGTTTGGGGCATAGTCGGTTTAGGATTTCCTGGGTTTAGGGTTTAGGGTGGTAGGGTTTATGGATTTAAGGGCGGATCCAGAGTGGTTATCTCCAATGCTGCGAATTCCAGATAAATCCTGCGTTGTGTGTAGGTTTCAGGAAGTCCGGTTTAGGGTTTCGTACTATTATTGTTTGGTGTTTGGGGTGTAGGGTTCCGGGTTCAATGTCTATCGCATCCCCGAGTACCGGTAAAGCTGGACTTAGATTCAAGTCAAACCCGAGACTGGATAGAATTTCGGAATCGCTGCCAATGGCCACAGGAGGGGCAGCTCAGGCTCTTGCTGCTGGCTTTAAGGCTTTGTAGTTTCTGCTGATGGTGCGGCTGATGCTCATAATGCTGCCCTTCAGGCTTTGTAATCGCTGCTGAGGGGATGGCTGATGCTCATGATGCTTTGCCCGTGGCACTAGGAGGGGCGGCTGATGCTTTGTAATCGCTGCTGATGGCCGCAGAAGGGCTGGCTGATGCGCATGATGCTGGTCGTCAGGTCGTGGAATCAATGCTAGTGACAGCAACAGGGACGGCTGATGCTCATGATGCTAGCCTGTCGGCTTTGTAATCGCTGCTGATGGCACAGAAGGGACGGCTGATGCTCATGATGCTTGCTTTCAGGTTGTTGGAACCACACCAGAAGGGGCGGCTGATGCGCATGATGCTAGCCTTCAGGCTTTGTAATCCGTGCTGATGGCCACGGAAGGGACGGCTGATTGCTCATGATGCTTGCTTGCAGGTTTTTGGCACGCACCAGGACGGGCGGCTGATGCGCATGATGCTAGCCTTCGGGCTTTGTAATTCCGTGCTGATGGCCACAGAAGGGACGGATGATGCTCATGATGCTCGTCGTCAGGTTGTTGGAACTATAGCTAGTGGCTCCAGAAGGGGCGGCTGATGCTCATGATGCTTGCTTTCAGGTTGTTGGAACCGCAGCTAGTGGCACCAGGAGGGGCGGCTGATGCTCATGATGCTAGCGCTCAGGCTTTGTAATCCGTGCTGATGGCCACAGAAGGGACGGCTGATGCTCATGATGCTTGCTTTCAGGTTGTTGGAACCACACCAGAAGGGGCGGCTGATGCGCATGATGCTAGCCTTCAGGCTTTGTAATCCGTGCTGATGGCCACGGAAGGGACGGCTGATTGCTCATGATGCTTGCTTGCAGGTTTTTGGCACGCACCAGGACGGGCGGCTGATGCGCATGATGCTAGCCTTCAGGCTTTGTAATTCCGTGCTGTTGGCCACAGAAGGGACGGCTGATGCTCATGATGCTTGCTTACAGGTTGTTGGAGCCACAGCTAGTGGCACCAGGAGGGGCGGCTGATGCGCATGATGCTATCCTTCAGGCTTTGTAATCCGTGCTGATGAGCGGCTGATGCTTGCTTTCAGGTTGTTGGAACCGCAGCTAGTGCCACCAGGAGGGGCGGCTGATGTTCATGATGCTAGCCTTCAGGCTTTGTAATCCGTGTTGATGGCCGCAGAAGGGGCGGCTGATGCTCATGATGCCTGCTTTCAGGTTGTTGGAACCAACCACAGCTAGTGGCACCAGGAGGGGCGGCTGATGCGCATGATGCTAGCCCTCAGGCTTTGTAATCCGTGCTGATGGTCGCAGAAGGGTTGGCTGATGCTTATGATGCCTGCTTTCAGGTTGTTGGAACCACAGCTAGTGGCACCAGGAGGGGCGGCTGATGCGCATGATGCTGGCCTTCAGGCTTTGTAATCCGTGTTGATGGCCGCAGAAGGGGCGGCTGATGCTCATGATGCCTGCTTTCAGGTTGTTGGTACCACAGCTATTGGCACCAGGAGGGGCGGCTGATGCGCATGATGCTGGCCTTCAGGCTTTGTAATCCGTGTTGATGGCCGCAGAAGGGGCGGCTGATGCTCATGATGCCTGCTTTCAGGTTGTTGGAACCACAGCTAGTGGCACCAGGAGGGGGGCGGCTGATGCTCATGATGCCTGCTTTCAGGTTGTTGGAGCCACAGCTAGTGGCACCAGGAGGGGCGGCTGATGCGCATGATGCTAGCCTTCAGGCTTTGTAATCCGTGCCTATGGCCGCAGAAGGTGCGGCTGATGCTCATGATGCATGCTTTCAGGTTGTTGGAACCACAGCTAGTGGCACCAGGAGGGGCGGCTGATGCTAATCCGTGCTGATGGCCGCAGAAGGGCGGCTGATGCGCATGATGCTGGCCTTCAGGCTTTGTAATCCGTGCTGATGGCCGCAGAACGGGCGCCTGATGCTCATGATGCCTGCTTTCAGGTTGTTGGAACCATAGCTGCAACCCTACGCCTCGAATCCCAACACCCCTGCAAGCTCCGCAACCGTGACCCAGAAAACCCTAAACCCTAAACCCTAAACCCTAGAAGCCCTAAACTACAAACCCGTGTAGGAACCTTCATAAAACTCTTGTCCAGCCCAAGCCCGACTGAGGCTGGGCTTATCCAAGCAGACGACTGGCAACTATGAGTTGCTCGGCTGAGGGTTTAGGGTTTAGGGTTGTATTGCGCGTCGTTTTGGGGAGCTTGAGTTTAATAGTTTTTAGACCTCAGCGCTGTATTGCAGCTCTTTTGGGCGTTTTTTTCTTATATCAGGGCTTTCCTAAAGGTTTTGCACGGGCTTTTGAGGACTCGTAAGGGTTTTCACGGGTTATTTTTACGGTTGAGGGTTTAGGGTTCAGGTTTTAGGGTTTCGTGTTTAGGGCAGCCGTGCGAGTCTCCAGAAATGGAGCGCTGACTCAGTGAGCAGAGCCTGTAGTCTCCAAACGCAAAATTACAGAGTTTAGGGTTTAGGGTTTGAGATCCTGAACATCAATTCCTGACCCCTAAGCCCGAACACCCGAAACCGCTATAAACTCCCCTGCTTGGAACCCTAGCTCAATCTCTAAAGCCTAAACCAACTTGAAGAGCAGATAAAAGCCCACAAAAACCTTCCCCAGCCGAGGCAGGCGGTTGAGTTGCAGAGGCAATACCTCGAGATTTGCAGGCACTCGGTGCATGGTTTAGGGTTTACGGGCTAGGGTTTATGTAGGGGTTAGGGTGTGGGGGGGGGTTCTGGGTTAACAGGCTAGGGTTTAGGGCTTAGACAGCCCAGTGGTTCAGAGTCGAAATTGAAAGGTTTCTGAGGCTGTTTTGCAGGCTTTGGCGTTTGCGAAAGGGCGCGAGAGATATTGCAGGAGGGTTAAGAGGGTTGTAAAAGTATGGTCACTATCCCTAAACCCTAAACCCTAAACCCTAAACCCTAAACCCTACACCCTACACCCTAAACCCTAAACCCGAAACCCTAAACCCTAAACCCTAAACCGTAAACCCCTAAACTATAAAGGCTGTTGAGGCGTGTTGGACCTTTGATACTCTCCGGGTCAGCTTCCGTCGGGGGTTTGGATCTGGTTTTAGGATGCACTTTGAGTTAATATAGGGGCCTTAATAAGTGGGGGGTTGTCAAAATTAGGGTCCTTTTTTGGGTCCGTAATATAACACGGCACCTAATATTTAGGGTACCCAAAAAGGGACCCTCATTTTGACAACCACCCATATGATATAATTATAACGGCGGAGCACGGGTGCTGCAGTCAACTGAGCCCAAAACGCTGGATGTCGTCATACCATAGGTATCGTGGGGCACGCCGCCCAATGCCACACTCCTCATCAGAGATGCTGCATATTCACATGTACTATAGAAGCCAGAATAGAAGCTATTCCTTAGCGTTCCCTCTTACAACCATGTGTATGACGAACCCCCAAAACCCTATTATTCTACTCATTCAGGCCCCTTGAGTACAAAAGTGACCATCCTGTACTGACTGCGACCCCTTCTCGGAAATCTTGTAGCACCCCTGGTATTTACGGTTTTGGAAAATTACACGGGTTTAGGGTTTAGGGCTCTGGGGTTCTAGGTTTATGGTTTCGGGCTCTGGAGCTCTAGGAGCCCCTTATGGACTCCCAAACCCATCGAGCTTAGTCCCTCTCTGGCCGAGCAAGGAGCTTCCCCGTGGTCAAAGCCTTCCAGAAGGGGTATCCGCGCGCCTGGGCCGCAAGATACTACAGTGCTACAGGTTAAGGGGCTCGAAAGAACTGGTCATAGAATTCCGTTATAGTACCGAGTGTACTGATAGCAAAGCAATTATACCCCAAGTTACCAAGGCTCCGATATCTGGCCTCAAAACCAAAGCTTGAGGCAGCTGGTTCAGGGTCTAAGGTTGCTCATGATATAGTATTGATGTACAGTATGGGACCTCAATGTAGCTTGTGTACTTGTACGCTTCAAGAAAAGTTTTCAAATCCCCCGACCAATCTCCCGAGCATGGACGGCTTTCTCTTGGCAGCCGCACTGAAGAATGAGACGAAGCCGCCAGCAGGTCTGTACTCCCTGCTTACTTTGCATCGTGATGCCTTCGCCACATTCGCACCCATGTCCATAAAGCCCGCAGTGTTCCTTGAGAGGATCAGATGGTGACAACGTCAAGCATACGGTAAGGAAGCATTTAGCCGGGCCTATTCGAGCATACTCAGCCTCACAATTCCATCAAGAACGACAGGGAGCCTTTCGATGGACCAAGCTACACCTATCAGGTCGATGTCGCGTGCCAACAAACGCAACGATCCATTCAGGGTTCCATGGCCTCTCGACATACCCACTGCCTGGAATGTGCTTCAACAGATCATCCTCATGTGAGTGGGCTGACTGACAGATTTTCCGCTTTCTTACTGACCTCCGCGCTGACACTTCCCCCTAAACCCTAAACCCTAAACTTTGGCCCTAAACCCGAAATCCTAAACCCTAGCGCAAAATGGAAAAACTGAGGCTCTCGTCCGGCCCGAAGAAGAGGAGCTCCCGGCGACCCTTGAGGTGTCCTGATCAAGGGGGACCACCCATAGGCCCCACAGTAGTTCCTTTTTGGGATCACCTAATAGGATCCTAAATATAAGCACAAAAAGGAACTACTATGGGGCCTACGGATACAGTAGTATCCGACTAGTAATCGTTCAGTCTACAAACACGCCGCCCCTTGTCCCAACGTGTTCCTGAAAGCCCCGAGTCTGTAAAACACCAGTAAGAGCTCACCTTTCCGGGTAATGAGGCAGTCCTGCAAAAATGCCGCTCTCTTCTGGCATCATGCAATCCAGCAGGGCATTCAAGTATCTGGTGAAGCATGACCTGCATTGCAGTGGCATGAGCTCTGGGTATCTGGGCTTGCATGAGGCAACTTATACTCCATAAACCCTAAACCCTAAACCCTAAACCCTAAACCCTAAACCGTACTCCAAGTTCTTGTGCAGGAGCCTCGACGACTTGTGACTATGGCTTTACTCTAAAACCCGCTGTGACTACACTAGAATATAGTTTTGTTGCACATATACTTATTTTTATGGATGTACACACATGTAAAGGTATACAGATATATGCACATATGAGCTATGTACGCATATAACATCATATACCAGAATATAGTGTACTACAATCTGTTATGGCGTAATATGATGTACCTTAACCTACCAAAACCTACTTTTTTGTAGGTTCTTCTTATAAAACCTAATAGGGAATTTATAGGGACCCTACAAAAAAAAGTAGGTTTTGGTATTATAAGGTAATATACTACAGCACAAGCCAAACCCCGCCACCAGCCCCGGACCCTGCCCGAAGATCTGAGTTCACGGCTGCATGCCCAGGGGTCCCTGAAGAGATCCAGCCACCACGTTGCCACTCCTGGGTTTAGGGGTTCTAGGGTCCAGGGTTTAGGGTTTAGGGTTTAGGGATTAGGGGTTCCTTCGGTGGTCGTCTTAAAGAACTACTTGGAGGTTCATGGGTAGTTATAAGTGGGGATATAAGTAGGGTAACTGTACTTATAACCCATATTAGAGGACAGATAACTCCACCTATAACTACCCATGAACCTCCAAGTAGAAAGGGGCAGGAGCCTAGCTTAGAAGTAACTGCATAAGAAGAGCATTAAACTGTTGGCTATGGACGCTTTTGCTTGTAGAAGAAATTGAGGGGAGGGCATTGGGGCAAGTGTCCGAACCTTTTGAAGAACATGGACGTGGGCTTAAGTTTTCTGCTTCGGACACACCGCTCTGGATATGGTTTCAATAAGCGCAGAAATACGATGGAATGCGGGCTGGTTTGCAGGGCGGCTGACTTTCCGGGTTTTGAGGGGAAGTCTAGTTTTGTTGGTGTGTCACTGCTAGCCTGCCGGCACAATCAAGCTTCTTAACAACCTACGAAAACATGAAAGGCTTAACGAGAAAAGAAATCCTGACAAGTCTTGGTAAAGGCAAGTACTTTGCTGCTACGTGTTTTGCTAGCAGATTCTATGACAGAAGCTCCGACCTGCTCTGTTCACCTACTTGGAGGTTCATGGGTAGTTATAAGTGGGGTTATAAGTAGGGTAACTGTACTTATAATCCATATTAGGGGACTTATAACTCCACCTATAACTACCCATGAACCTCCAAGTAAGGGTACTCAAACCAAGCGTCTGTCCGTTGGGCCATGATCTGTCTGGCAGGATGACACCTTTGGAGCCGCCTCGCACAAGGCTGGGATGGGGCTGAATTACTTGCAGCTTTCGATGATTCTACGGGCTCTTACACCCGTTCTGCGTGTTTGAGCTCGTGCTTCGTCACGACACGTGCTCATAACTGAATCCAGGATTTTTGATTGCGCAATAGTGAAGCACCAGGAGCTTGGAGCATGTGACAGGCTCTACTCCGGAACTTAATTTGACCTATGACCCTTTTCAACTTGACACATCTTGAAGCGACTGTTCTGCACTCAACAAGCATGGCTTTGGGTTTCGAGTGAAGCGCTGGTGCAGAGGGCCTTCCGGAATGTCCTGGCCGCGAGAGTCTTTTGTAATGTAGGGGCTTAAATAATTACACTATTTGGGGGGGGCTCCTTATGATAGTTATAGTATAATGGGCCCCAAAACCTATTCCAATTAAGGCTCCTATATTAGGCAGCCAGTGCCTCGGTAAGTATCCCCGAACCCGGAAGCCGCCTGGACACCGACGCCAGAAGTATAAAACTTTAGGATCGTCAGACACTTAAGTGTGCGCATGCATAAAACATCATGGAATACATCCCCCGGTGCATGAGGATGCGCCGACCAGAAGCAGACAGTCAGCACCTGCAGTACACAACTCGAGCGGATCGGAATGAACTAGGACGCAACGGGCCACTAATATAGTTCAAGCGGGGGCGAAGGTGCGCTTGTTTTCATTGGCGGCCACCTACCTAGCCCATCTGAAAAATCATGTAGTAAGGTCTCGATTAAGCCAAGGATAGACCGAATCATCAGTGCACATAGCGTTTCTTCGAATATCGACTTGACAACTTCCCTGAGCTTGACGGTCAGGGAGCAGGCCGGTCCTTGTTCTTGTACTGTTGGGTGAATGCCAAGTTGTAGCACTCCTGACTGTCAAAGCGCAATGCAGAAGCAGGACGATGCAGATCTTCGTCTTGGATGCCTTAAGCCTTCGCTCTGTCGGCACAGCCCGAAAAGCAAGCTTGCTTACACAGGCCCCCAACACTCAAAAATGATTTGCAAGAGGGCGTCATCGAAAAGTGTGGCAAAGTTGCGATCGTAGGTGGTCTTGTCACGGGACAGCACGAGCCTGATCCCGCCCCGGGCCACGTCGCGGAAACGTGTGTGGAAGCCCATGAAGTCACGGCCGCACACGAGGTAGATGCCTGCGAGGTTGAAAGATAACGGGTTTCTAACAATCTTAAGTCTTGGAATACGAAGCAACGGTGTGGTTTCTGTGTACCCTGATGAGTACAGACAAAGCTCAATCGCGCCATTGCTCTCAGAAGTGCGACAAGGAGCAGAACCAACATATCTTCAATCCCTCTGAGGCAGGGGCCGTAGGGAACTTCTGGATACCTCGGTTCTCTAGCGAAGCAGCCCTGCTCTTTTGCAACAGCTTTCTCCAGCTTCAACAACAGAAACCGCCACACGGACAATGTGCACCCCACAGCAGGGAGAACCAAAACGCAACACTAAACCCTCAACTCCAAGCCCTGGGAACAGCAGAGATCCCTAAACCCTAAATCCTAAACTCTAAACCCTGGGAAGAGCAGAGATCCCTAAACCCTAAACCCTAAACTCTAAACCCTGGAAAAGGCAGAGATCCCTAAACCTAAAACCCTAAACTCTAAACCCTGAAAAGCGCCCTAACCCCTAAACCCTAAACTTTAAACCTTTGAAAGGGCCGAGATCCCTAAACCCTAAACCCTAAACTCTAAACCTTTGAAAATGCAGAGATGCAAAGAGGCCGGTCTGTCTTTCAAGGCCACAGCCGGGTCCAGGCCTGAGCTCTTCTTAAGAAACTTACTTAGAGGCCCAGGGGACTTAGTAAGTCGGTTATAAGTAGGGTTATGATTGGGGTAACTCCATTTAGGGTACTTACTAAGTCCCCTGGGCCTCCAAGTATCTCCATGACAAGGACGCCATATCATCTACTACAGGTCGCTATTATGATAACCTAAACCCCTGTTGTATGGTAACTTTAAAACGAATGATTTACTATGGATCCGTATCATAACCCTGTTATGGTAACTTAAAAACGAATAATTTGCTCTGGATCCGTATCAGGAGAACTGAAACTTTCATTGCCTGACCAAAAATACCAAGTAGCGGAAGGACAAAGCGCCTGGAATCTGGGCCTTGAAGAAATTCGTCCTCGGCTTTCTGAGTCTTAGTTCGGGGTTTAGGGGTTTGGTCTCTGTTTTTTTGTTTAAGTGCAATGGCCCCCGTTTTCTGTGCGACGAGCCGGTTTAGGGGTTCCGGGTCTAGGGGTTAAGGTGTATGGTTTGGATGTTTAGGGGTTCAGGGCTGAGTTTTGGTTTGTGGGTTCGGGGCGGCGTATGGTTTTGGCGGATTGGTGCGTACTAATTACTAGTCAGGAATTTCGGTACTGGTACTTCTCAAGTGTAAACACATAATAAATAAATAAATAAAGACATATCTCTCTACAAAAAGATGCAAACCAAATACGTAAAATCAGCATATCTATATATACATATATATATATATATGTATATATACAGCTATATATACATATATACACATATGTGTGTGTTTACATATTGTAATGTACGTATGTATGTATATACGTATGCATGTATGTGTTTGTGCATGTGTGTATGTATGTATACATATGTATGTATGTATGTATGTATGTATGTATGTATGTATGTATGTATGTGTGTGTATGTATATACATATATATATATATATATGTATAGTATTATTATTATTGTTATTATTATTAATATTATTATTATATGTTATATCGATTACGATTATATAAACATATGTGTATATACATATATATATATATATATATATCATACAGCATATACGTATATAGTGTATATACATATATATATATATATGTATATATATATATATATATAAATGACGATGCACAAGTTCGGGACACCTCACCAAGACCTTCAGGCCACCCATGTAGATCACGCCTAAGGCTCTCCACATATCTTCATTCATTAGGTGCCCCACACGATAAGGTGCAAGGTATCGGGTTTAGAGTTTAGGTTTTGACCCCTGGCCGGAAAAAGCAAGGTGAGCCCGTAGTCAGCACTCCTCCTCTCTACCAAGACCAAGAGGCAGCAGGAGGCTGTGGTTGAAGGTGAGGAACATCTTCAAAATTTGCCGATCTTGGGGATCCGTGCAGGCCTCGTCGATCACCTGCAGGACAAAACGTAGAAGCAAGAGACATCATGAAAGTTTTACTCTGGGCTTTAAACGTGAATCTCAGGCCGAGGGTCCTACAGAAAGAACGTCACAGAAAACACTCTGGAATTCAAAAAGCAGCGCACTAAAGCTAGTAATCTCGACAAGCTGAAATCTACCGTCGCAAAACTCTCAATCGGACTATCTACTTCATCCACTGTGCTAAACTGCGAAACCTGAGTGTTCTACCGTCGCAGAACTCTCAATCGGACTATCTACTTCATCCACTGTGCTAGACCTGAGTGGTTACATGCAGGCAAGCTCCGAAGCCTACTGTCGAGGAACCCGTGATCTGACCATCTGTCTGCACCGATTTGGGAGTTTCCAAAAATTAGGATACCTTATTTTGGGGGTCCTTATAATAAGGGTCCTATTATTTAGGGTACTATATTAGGGTCCCCTGTCTTCGGAAACCCCCATTTTCCTCCGAGACACCGAACTTAGCTCTTCGTTGAAGTGCGGCTCCCGCTCTCCTCGGGCGATCAGCGCGAAGTCCTCGAAGAAAAGCCTGCGCACATCCGGCAATATAGGGGCCATACATAAATTTTGAGTAAGTTTACAAGTAATACTAATGATTCTAAAAAAACCTTTTAATCAATAGTCATAGTCGTATTAAGAACCATCATAAGAATCATAATGATAGTCAAAATAGCAATCGATATATCATGATATTTAAAATAACAATAGTAACAATCACCATCATCACCATCAACAATCATACTCATCACCATAAACATAGATATCTCAATAACTATGTTCATTCGAACAGGGGTTTCAGGTAGAACATAACCTACTCAGTTTAGTACGTATACTTTTAATGCACCGAGTCGCTTCTACAGAATGCAGGAGTGCCTTCGACCAAGCAACAAAGCCTTTGTCTTTCGCAAGGGGACCAATCATGTGGCAAGCATTGTGCCCACGTTAGCAATGCAAGGCTGAGACTTTGAAGCTTATCCATGTGTTGCCCGTGGGCTCCTTGCCAGATTTGGGTGGCGGTGGATCAGGCTGTAGATCCTTTCCGTGGACAGGAGGTCCTGCGACGCAAGGGGACAGAAGGCTAAACGGCTAGTGGTCAAGTTCTGGGCAGAGAGGAGCTTTTGAGATCAGGGTCCTAGAGCCTTCAGGCTTCAAGATTTAAACCCTAAGCCCTAAGCCCGAAACCCTAAACCGTCAAGGTGAGCCCGGGCTGCTCCTTGATACAGAGCTTGTACAAGGTCTCGAGTTTCCTCTGGCTGGCGGCGTCGTGCTCCAGCACCTTTAGGGTTTAGGGGTGTAGGGTTTAGGGTTTATAAGGTCTAGGGGTTTAGGGTTCAGGGTTTAGGGTCCAGCACCTTATGCACTGAGATGTACTCCGGCGCATACTGCTCCTTGGGGAAGAAGGTGTAGACAAACTTGACCTTGGGCAGCATCAAACAGCGAGGCAAAGCGTCAAAGAGAATGGAGGCATTAATATAGGGGCCGTGATCTTATGCTGTACTATAAGTCCGTAAAAAGGAGCCCCCAAAACCCTATTCTATTTATCAAGGCCCCTATACATTACAGGCATGCCTCACGTGGCCGGGCACCATGGCAGCATGCTAAGTCACGAGCGGCGGCCAGGACGTACAGACCGCACTCGTGAGAGATCTGGGACTGCCTGGAACTGCATTTTTTCTACTCTTCCTAGGCCAATCTCCCGTTGTATCAGCGCAGTCTTGGGATTCGTTGCGAGGCTTGGGAAGCTGGGTTCTGCTCCCCAATCAGGATATGCTTAGCATTGCATCTAGAATAGGCCTTCGATGGGCCACGGTTTGCTTTGGCGAAGACACCATCTTAAAAAGTCCACCGGCACCGCATGCTACTCAAAGGATTTCCACGATGGCTTCATGTATCCAAGCTTGCAAGAAGTTGCACATGCAGGAGCTGCATCCAAATCAAACGCAAAGAACCAGGATTGCTACATTTCTATTTCTTCCCTTGCCGGCCCTCTCAACGACTAAACACCTCAACGATGAAACCTAAACTAAAACTAGAAACACCCGAAAAGGGTAACATAGGGGCCTTACTGATGTTAATAGGGCTTTTGGGGAATATTACACTATGAAAATATAATTCCAATAAGGAACTCCCAAAAAGAGTAATACAGAGGACAGGTATTTATTTAGGCCCCTAACTCATTCCCAGTAGCATCACGCTGCGGTAAACCAGCTCCGAGTTTCCAGGCGTGGCCTGCTGGCTGGGGTTTACGGGTTTAGTGGCTTAGGGGCTTAGGGTTTAGGGGCTTAGGGTTTAGGGGCTTAGGGTTTAGGGGTTAGGGTTTAGGGGCTTAGGGTTTAGGGGTTAGGATTTAAGGGTTAGGGTTTAGGGGCTTTTGGTGGGTTCCTGGTTTAGGGTTTAGGGTGGGTTCCTGGTTTAGGATTTTGGGGTTTGGGTTTAGGGTGGGCTCCTTTAAGGGTTTTATGTTAGGCAACCTTTAAGATTTCTTTAGCAGGGCTTTCGGGCGTCGTGTTCCGGCTACAGAGTCTTGGAATCGTCCAGGGTTGGGCAAGTAAGAGGTATGGCAGTCGTAGAACTTCAGAGGACCTGCTGATGTTGGCAATGACGCGAAGCAGAGGGGCTAATTGCTAGGGATCGTCGGAAGATTATACTCTTGGAAACAAGCTTAAATTTCAACTCAGCAAGGCTCGAAACACCATCGAGCGGTCTTGGGATTTGACTGCGCATGGTTCAGGGACATGTCGTCCTGTAGCTCTACCCCTACCCTGCAGAGTCCGAAATCGACGTAAGAGCATTCCACAAGACGATTCTGTCGGCTGTTCATAACCAAAGGCGAGCACCCGAAGCGGTACCGACAGGAGCAAGCACCAATTATTCAGAAGTATTCATTGGACTTAGAGCGATCACGATTCTCCCCTAAACCCTAAACCCTAAACCCTAAACCGCAAATAGGCTTTGACTGTTGCTATGATTCTTGGGATGATGGTGGGTGAGCTTCAGAATCCACTCACAACCGACCCGGCCTTCAGCAGCGTCGAGTACAGAAGCGCGCGCTTCAAGCATTCCACCTGGGAGTTTCCGGAAATAAGGGGTACCTTATTTTGGGGGTCCTTATCATAAGGATCCTACTAATTAGGGGTAAAATATAGGGTCCTTATATTCGGAAACCCCCACCTGTGTCTCCGGGACACCCCCCGGGAAGAAGAGGCTGTAGGCAATTACCTGGGCAGCAACGGCGAACAGGCTTGTCCCTAAACCCTAAACCCTAAACCCCTAAACCCTAAACCCCAAGTTGTATAGCTGCTCGAACCTGGAAGCCCGTGGGCGAACGTCTGTATCTACCTGTCTATATATGACATAACTCATCCTGTATGCATGCATACATACTTATGTGTGTATATATACATTCATATATATATATATATCTTTGTATGCTGCACTATTCGAGTCTGAACATGCGTGCATGTTCGCATGGATACGTATATTTACAAGTGGCTACCAAAAGTAAGCACGTATGCTTATGCAGACATGCAGGCAGGACTCATGATGCAGCAACACATACAACACCAGCTAACAGAGAGAGAGAGAGAGAGACACACACACACACACAAAGACACACACACACACAAAAAAAAAAACAACTAAAACTCGCTCCCTCTTTTTGCAGCCCTTAGACATGTATACTCGTGCCAACATGTGCAAGTAAACTGTCTTTTAGAACTTGTCAAGGTCTATGTTGCGCTAGGGTTTGATATTTGCTCCTCCTCCTCTTCCTCACTGCTGGGTCATCTGTCCCACGTCCGTGAGTCCTATTTTACGAAGCAGAAACTGAGAAACGTGGTAGTAGGGCTCCGGGCAATAGCTGGGGTTTCCGGTAGGTTAAAAAAACACTTATGAAACCCTTGTTAGGGTTTGGATTACTGCATGGGGTCAAGGTGCTGGCTGTAGTTTACATGCATTCTCGACTCTCTCGGCTGCCCATGCTCAAGTTCCAAGCTGCGCCGTTGGCAAAAGTGGAAAAGTAGAACCTCCAAATCATGTGGGTAGTTCTCTACATTAGGGTCCCTTTTTAGATCCCAAATAAGGATCCTAAAAAGGAGCCTAATTTAGGGAACTACCCATGTGCACATCGTCAACTACTACGGCCGGATGCTCACTTGCTGGAGAGGACTTGCAGCTGCCTCTGGAAACTAATCACGAAGCCTACATAGACCTTTTACAAGGAAGCCTCAAACTTTAACTCCGTTTAAAAGGAAGCCTCCAACTTTAACTCCCGAGCTCTGTACCTTCATGGGTTGAAGCGTATCAGCTTTATCTGTGGCTGGGGGTTGACATGTGTCAGCATTCATGGGTACCTCCCGACCCCTCTGCGCACCCCGCCCTCCTCCCCTCCCGCCCTGTGAACGCAAACACATGCGAGTACCTAAACCCAAAACCCTAAACAGTGGGGCTGTTTCTGATGTGTCTGAGTTGGGTTTAGGGTTTAGGGGTTTAGGGTTTTGGGTTTGGGGTTTATAGGGTTTTGGGTTTTTGGGTTGCCAGATCTTGGAAGGACGTGCTTGCATCTGCTGCAAGATCTCCGGGCCTTCGCGGGACCAGGCCGACGAAACGCATGGCCTTGCGGAAAAGCCGAAACTGCTCACAGGAGGAATTGCTTTGAAGGCATAAAGTTCATGGTCTGAGGCTTGGTGTTCAGGGTTTAAGGTCTGGGTTTAAGGTTCGAAGGTTTGGGTTCAGGCTCTCCAGGTTTCGGTTGCGCGATGAAGGAGGGCAACATTTGCTCTGGAGGATTTCAGGTTCAGGCTTTGGGCTCTTTTTGAATTGATTTAAGCGGCCAAAAGCCTTCAGTTTATGGTGCTTGTTTTAGATGCCTGAATCGCAGCAAGCGCGAAGCAAGCGCATAGCTATGACAAAAGACGACGACCAGGGCGAGGGAAGGCAGCTTCTATAATCTCATGCTGAAGAAACATTGGACTGAGTCTCAGACTACGAACGTTGCACACAGATTTTCTGACGCGCGCTCCGGCCTGCCAAACTTCCTGAATGTAGTTCCGGCCAGCGGTCTCTGCGGTGGCGAACAGTACCACGAAACCTGGTGATGTTGCCGTTGTTGCCAGCATGTAGCACTCTTATCTCACACCCCTTACTTGCACTGCCCTCGTCATGTCGAGGTGCAGGGGTTGGCGAGTTGCTGTTGTCTTTATCGGACTAAATTTGCACTTGTTTCACTACAGCCCTGAAACCAAAATCCGTACCTCTGAAAATCCAGGCCTCAAGCACCAAACCAGCCGTGCGGCCGGAGAAGTTGCCTGGATAAGCTTCACCGGGTATGATGTTGACCATGCTGCGACGGGACGCCACCACATCTTCCTGGAGGCAAGTGGGGCTTGTGTCGTCGATGAGCTAGTATCATTCCTCCCACTCCTCACCTTGTCTGGTAGTTCATTCCTGTATAGGCATAAGTACCGTGGACCGCATCAGCTTCGACATCTTCAGACTCAACTGGAGTTGAGCGCCGTGGTACAGCAAATGGCTTTGTAGCGCAGTCGAGGCGGCAGTGGAAGTGGAAGTAGCAGTCGCAGCAGTAGTATAGTAGCAGTAGTAGCAGTAGTAGCAGTAGCAGTAGTAGTAGTAGTAGTAGTAGTAGTAGTAGCAGTAGCAGGAGTCGTCGCAGTACTGGTAGTAGCTGTTGTTGTGGTGGTAGTAGTAGTAGTAGTAGTAGTAGTAATGGCAGTGGTAGTACTTTTATCAATAGTAGTGTAGTAGCAGTAGCAGTAGCAGTGGTTGTAGTAGTAGTAGTAGTAGTAGTAGTAGTAGCAGTAATCGTCGTCGTCGTCGTAGTAG